AACCCAGCAGAATACCAATTTTTATCTAAAAGCCACAGAGTGGTGGTGGTAGAAGAGAAGGGAGCATTTTTGAGGGAAACTCAGTGAAACTTCAATGACAGACCTACAACCAAAGTTTTTCAGGAAAAGAAATAAAGAAATGGTGCAATTTCAGACAAAATAAATAAGGCATACAGTTGACCCTTGAACATCAGTTTGAACAGCACATGTCCACTTACATGCAAATTTTTAACAACACAGTACTGTATATGTTATTTTCACTTACTCATGATTGTTTAAATATTTTCTCTGGTTCATTTTAAGAATCCAGTATATAATACATTTAACATACAAAATATGTTAATTGACTGTTTATATTATCATTAAAGCTTCCAGTCAAGCATACGCTATTAGTAGTTAAGTTTTTGGGAAGTCAAAAGTTAATGCAGATTTTCAAACTGCATAGGATGGGGGGTGCTCCAACGCCCTAGCATTGTTCAAGGGTCAACTATACAAGCATTTTTAAATTTAACTAAAGGATCTTAAAGTGGAATATATTAGTCTAATCATTTCTCTGACATATAGTCCAAAATAATCTGATTCCTATTTTTACAGAATTGTCATGAACACACATTTAAAACTGAGGAATTAACGTTAACTTTTAGCCTTAGATTATGTTTTCTTTACTATGAAACTAGTCTCTAATTATAACAAAAACATGCGTACTTGCTTTAGAAAACAGGTATGGCTAAACTCATGCCTCGAATTTTTCAGTAAGGCAGTTTCTTAGAAAACTATGCAGTTACTTTAAAATATTACAGCTTAAGTACTTTAAATATATATTTCATTTGTAATGGTTTAAGCCCTAGTATATTGCAGAAGAGATATTTTGCTACAATTCACTGATGATTATATAAAATCTTTTTTTTTTTGATTATATAAAATCTTGATCAAGTTGAAGGATGGACAACTTCCTTGAGTTTGCATTCTACTCGGAACAACGAAAAATTTTTAAGATTATTCTATGATACAATTATTATTTTTTTTATGATACAATTAATAAAGGGCCTCAGCCTAACGGAAAAACTAGTGATCTGGGAATCAAAAAAAATCCAATTCAGGTGATTAACTTTGGGCAAATCCTTTTTGTGCCAAGAGCTCCAGAAATACTATAATGTTAGAGCTGAAAGAGGCTTTGGCAGGCATCTGTCCAATTTCATTTCTCCTTCAGAAAAGCTAGGGTTACAGTAGTATAGTATCAATTCCTCTTTTCCCTCAGGTAATTAAAGAAATGACATAACAATTACAGACATTCGTATACTATTTTACAGTTTACAAAATGCTTCTTCATTCGTTAACCCAGCTGATCCTCACAGTAGTTTTGAAAGGTAGTGGTAGGCAGAGCAGTCATTATTACTTCTATGTATTTTAGAGTGCATTAACTATTTTACAATAGATAAAAGTGAGCCTCAGAGAAACTGAACAAATTTTTCCCAATTTGGCATAGCTGGTGGAGCAAATGGAGAATTTGAACCTAAGCTGTCTAGTCTTGCCACCACTGATGACGTTTCCTTATAGAAGAGACATAAATGAGAATATAACTTAAATTCTTTGAATGAAACATGATTATAAATTCAATACATTACATTACTGTTTTAGAACTCTAATTGGTATAATATTACCAAATAGTATTACTGTATGTTGTTTTAACTAATGCTAAAACATAAAGCTTCCAATCTTCTTGAATTAGTGTTTTTTAAACTTTTTACGTCAACATACAAATTTCATAACACCTTGGTTTGACTTTTTATAATATTTCCAATACTTGAATTTTTTATTAATATGTAGCAAAAGAACATAGAAGAGCACCAATGTTTATCTACAAACCACAAAGCAAAAAAGTTTTTGAGGGAGACTCAGTGAAGCTAGAATGCCAAATCTCAGCTGTACCACCACCAAAGCTTTTCTGGAAAAGAAATAATGAAATGGTACAATTCAACACTGATCGAATAAGGTAGGATAAGTATTTTTAGACATACCTCTAGTTTATTTGGGTGAATGCAGTTGCACTTGAAATGCATTATAAATGGCATGCATTTGTAATCTCACTGTCTAGTTCTTAAACCATGTGTAGAAATACAATAAACCTCATTAACCCTGATTCTACTAATAAAAAATTTAAGGCATAAAGTTAGGATTTACCTTTTTACTATCAACAAAGAAAGATGGCTCAAGGAAATTATGACACAAACAAAATTAAAGGGGGGATTAAACTCCATAAAACCAATACCTATTTGGCATTGACTAGGTACAGTCTCAGAATTTCCAAATGCTTCGTTTTCTAACAATCAGACCCCCTGGGTCAGAGGCATCATAAATAAACATTCACAGGAAAATTAATTCCTATACTTCAATTTTTTTATTATTGTTTCTTTTCAGTTTATATCATGATAACTCTGGAAGAGTTACTTTACTGATAAAAGATGTAAACAAGAAAGATGCTGGGTGGTATACTGTGTCTGCAGTTAATGAAGCTGGAGTGACCACATGTAACACAAGATTAGATGTTACAGGTATGTCATGCTATAAACCCAAGCATTATAAAGGACTAATCAGAAACATTTAGTTAGAAACACAAATCCCAGCAAAATATAAAAATGTATAGTATAAAATATGAGATTTTCCCCATAATTAGTTCTGATTTTTTTTCTTTTCCTGTCTGATACTGAATACCTAGTGCAATCCATTTGTTTAGAACAGGTTTTCTGAATTAACCTCTATTTGATCTATTTCAGTCCGTCAAAACCAAACTCTTCCGGCCCCTAAGCAGTTACGTGTTCGACCAACTTTCAGTAAATATTTCGCACTTAACGGTAGAGGTCTGGATGTGAAACAAGCTTTTAACCCTGAAGGAGAATTTCAGCGTCTGGCAGCTCAATCTGGACTCTATGAAAGTGAAGAACTTTAATGAGGTTACCAACACTGGAAAACACAATAACTACATTATTAGTAATATATTCAATTAAATTAAATTTTTAAAATAAATAAATCTATGGCAGTATTAACAGATTATGGCTTTAATTAGGTAATATAACTAATATACATTTATATTTATCCTTTGACTCTTGCACATTCTATCTTCTTCTTCTCTGGTTTGCGAAGCCTCTGGAAAATCTGGGCATATGAGTTTGTAATTGTAGAATCCATCTCAAAATGTGAGATTTTAACATTTAAGTCATACACATCAACTTTTTAAGCACATCTAATGCTTGTAATAAGGTTTACCGGTACTGCTTTCTAAATACCGTTTTACCTGTTTTCTCTTATAGGAATACTAACAAGGCATAGATTCTCTGAGTGTTCCATAGTTCAATGTCAAAAGAGAATAAAATTTCAAATATTTAAAAGACTGTCTTCTCTTCACAAAAGTCTAGATATTTAAAATGTAACTTTCTGGTCTTTACATACTATACAACACTTAGCAAAACCTAAGAACAACAAGGTCCCAAAAAGCAACAATATTATGTTCTAGAACTGTGTCTCAATGAAGCTCACTTACAGCTCAGTCAATTCCTGACATGAGGCTAGACTTTTCTATGGTTTTCACTTCAAAAGCAAGCAACCACAATAACTTAAATTCCGACAGATCTCTCCTGAAATTGTGATTTTGTTTTAACCAAAAAAGTCCCTAAGCCTTCAAGATCTTGGAGCCTATTGAGCTCAACGGCTCAGTAAGAAGAGTTTATAGAGCCATCTGCCGAATTTTTGTATTTTAAGTAAACTTTGATGCCAGTGGGGGGAGGGGGAGTTCTTCTTACATTTCAAGTGCAGATAATCTATAACATTAGAAGGCATAATTTTGTGAGCATCTGAGAATCTAAGTACAGGAAGGGAAAATCCTTTTATTACACAATTCTTAAGCTAGGACATTAGCCCTTTCTTCTTAGGCCTCCTGTCCACTCGTCATGGCCTTTTGCTAGGCCTCTATTTCTTTTATCATTGGTAGTCTTTGACCCTCACTGCTGTGTGGCCTCGTTTTGCTTTTTATCTACACATGAAATAGCATTTATCAACATCACTCAACATCTCTTTCAGAGAAATCACAAAAGCGGCTTTTTTTTTTTTTTTTTTTTTTTTACTTCCCCAACAGCTTGATGGTTTTTCTTTGCTGGCCAGCCCTAGGGCCTTTCTACTGAATTCCATTTCATTTTCCCTTTTTCCGACATGAGAGTCTCTCCTGTCTCATATCCTGGTGGGGTTTTGGATGCCTTCATTTACAGCCATTTTTTTGGTTTACAAACGTTCCCCATCTTTGCAAAGCTTCTGGGCCAGGTAGGAGTCTGGGCTCCCAAGGTCTCCTGTTTGGCCTCACTCATCCAAGACCTGATCACTTCAGAGCTGGAATTTTTTTTTTTTTCTTTAATTTATCGCCTTCTTTAGCCACACTGGGTGGCAAGCGGGGTGGAAGCTATTTCCAGCAGCAGCTCTCGGTTAACGAGAACCGGCGTGGGCTCTGGCGTCCAGCACACCTGCCCCGACCACCTGTGCACTTCGGTAAGTCACTGACTCTCTCTCTCTCTCTCTCTCTCTCTCTCTCTCTCTCTCTCGGCGCCTCGGCGTCTCCAGACCTAAAATGACGATAAAACACCTACCTTTCAGGAAGGGGGGATGTGAAGACTAAACAAGCCAATAAATGTAAAAGGTGTTCAAGACACAGTAGCCCGTTAGAATTAATTACTACGATTTTTACGACCAACCCAAGGCCCAAAACCAGATTCGCCCGAGAAGCCGAGTCTCCCTCCGCCAGAGACAAACGCCGCAACTCCCAGCCCCGCCTCGGCCGCCGGCTTTCCAGAGCATCCTCGGTGCGCACGCGCGCTGGCCACTTGCAGCGCGGCTTGCGCCGGGGCAGGAGCGTGAGGGGGCGCGCAGGCGCAGGAGCCAGGGGGCGCGCGTCGCGAAGTTACGCGCAGGCGCGGCCCACCGGGGAGGCCGAACGGGCGTCGTTGTCCAGGTCCGCCATGGCGGAGGCGTCGAGGTGGCACCGAGGTGGTGAGGGTTGACCCTAAGGCGTGGTGGGGCTGGGCCGACTTGCAATTACAAGGAGCGTGGAAGGAGCGGCGGAGCCCCGTGTGTGCTCACGGGAAAGCTAGGATTCCCAGCACGTTTAGCCCGCACAGCCTTCCCGTGAGGAGGGGTGGACACCGGTCCCTTTTCACAGATGGGAAAACTGACGCTTGGAGGCGATATGGCGCCGGGGCTCGAGCTGGAGGCTCCGGGCTGCACACAGGCCGTCGCTAGGCCATCCTGCGATGCCCTTTCCTGATCTGGGGAGTCTTCCCTTATAAGACCCAGGCGGGGTCCTTCCTCCTCCAGCGGGATCCAGCCTTCCCGAGCAGCAGTGTAGACGGTAGAGAAAACGACTAGGGACAAATGGGTGGGGTTTTTTTTTTTTTTTTTTTTTTTTTGTATTTTGTTTTTTTCACTTTCAGACGGGGCTTCTGAGGAAACGTAATATATAAAATTCATTAGTGTTGCGTCGTAAAGTGACCGCCCGCTCACCCTCCATGAGAAATGTTAGTAATTATTCCTCTTAAGTAAAAGTGACAGTAAAAATAAATAAATAACCAGAAGCCCTTGGAGCTCTCCTTCACAGACTGTTACCAGCTAAAAGTGGCCGTGTTTTCCCATCATCGTAATTTGTATACATTATAAACTGTGTAATAATGTAAGGAACCAGTTTGTTTTGTGTCTCGCAGGGACTCCGAAACCTAAGCTGCATTACAGAAAGGAAGTAGAAATTAGAACCACACTTCAGGAGTTGGCACTCTACTTTATTTTTTTAATAAACCTATGTATATGTAAGTATGCAGATGTAGATGAAGACACTGTTTGAACTAAGACGTTGTGTGGAGGTGAAAAATAAAACACGCACTTTATGAACCATAGGCTCTCAGACTAAGACCTGTGAAATAAAATAGCGACCACATTTTAGACTTACCTCTAATTCATGTAGATGGTACTGTTTCCATTTCTTAAAGGGCAAAGCTTTGCTGAGGTCACAGATGTAATGAAAACCTTTCATAGACACTGAACTGTTCCTTTCAGTTTTCAGTTCTATCCTGAATATAATTGTACCCTTGACTTGGCAATGTTGACACGATTTCTGCCAGAGCCATGTGAATACATTAGCTCAGTTTCATAGGTCATTCTACACACGAGACCAAAGAAGTTAGTCCTGGTGTCTGCTTTGTTCTTTCTCTGGCCTATTGCACAGTTAGTAAAATATGCTGGTGCTGAGTCGCAGAAGGTATGTATGGATCAATGCAAATCTTTAAGGAGACTGGGAAAACATCTCAATCTGCATTTCTCCTTTCTGTGGGTCAAGAGCATTGACTGAATCAGTAGTAAAGAGCATCTCATCATTAGAGCACCCAGCAAACAGTAGGTATAAGCTCATTGGCCAGACTTCTCTCACGTTGATATGGCCTGCATACTGGCAATTACCTTATCAGCTAACTAGTTGTGGAGTAGGAGTGAGTTTGAGTAAGATCTTGATTAAAAAGAAAATTCTAGATCTTATAAATTAAGACAACTTAGACTGGTTTTTAAATGCTTCTTACAGAACATTAAGGGAATGGAAAAATATAAAAATCAAAATTTCACTATTCAGAGACATTAAAAAAAATCTTTATAATTAGGAAGAACTGAAAGCAACTTAAATCTTTATCAACAGAGGATTTGTAAAAAAAAAAAAAGACAGGATTTGTTTAACATTTTGGTATTTACAATGAAATAATATGGATCATTAAAGTATATGCTTATATGCTACAGAATAATGTTGAAGATAGATATTGGAAAAACTAAGTCTTCTAGCAAAAAAAAAAAAAAAAAAGACCTATTTAGTCATATTGAAGAAGACCCTGGGGATCCCTAGGTGGCGCAGCGGTTTGGTGCCTGCCTTTGGCCCAGGGCGCGATCCTGGAGACCCGGGATTGAATCCCATGTCGGCTCCCGGTGCATTGGAGCCTGCTTCTCCCTCTGCCTGTGTCTGCCTCTCTCTCTCTCTCTCTCTCTCTCTCTCTCTCTCTCTATCATAAATAAAAAAAATAAAAAAAGAAAGACCCTGCTATAAAACCTACCCACCTACCCTTGAAATAGAACAAATACTAGTTAATTTTTAAAATTATTATCATATGCCAAAACATGATTTTAAATGTTCCATATGCATTACCTCACTTCTCAAAACTATGAGGGAGGAGATGTCATCCTTATGTTAGGATTCAAATCGTTATCTGTTTGAATTCAGAGTCCATAGCTTTATTCACTACATTACATTGTCTACTTAAAATAGAGAAAAAGCTTGGAGAATAGTATGCATAATGTGATCTCATTTCTGTAAAAATAAATTTATTTTCTTTATAAATGAGTAGGCATATGGGAAAATCTGAAGAATACATGCTAAACCTAAGTCTAGCAACTTCTTCCTGTTTTGTATATTTCTGTTTTCTTTTTAAATTACTTTTATAATTAATCAAAAAATTTGAATTTTCGAAACAAAATGGGGAACAAAATTTAATTTTTAATCCTGATAAACAGTTTTTAAAAATATATTTTTAAACAAAAATTCTTTTCTTTAGTGACTTTTGGGATGGTAAACCCACATATGTATTACTTAAACAAAGTTATGTCATCTTTATTTTTGGACACTTCTGTGCCTGGTGATGAAAGAACCAACTTTAAATCTATACGCAGCATAACTGATTTTTGGAAGGTAAGGTATCATGTGATTGAGAATGAAGTAGCTTTTGGTATTGCATAAACTAACTCTTGGCACACATAATAGGCACTGGAGACATTTGTTGAAGGAATGAATAAAAATGAATATCGTTCCTTTAAACTTTTAGAATCAGCCAATCAGTATATTGAGAACCTATACATTATAACAGAGTTCTTAGAATTTTAAAAAATTATCCTTTTTTTAAAATTATCATTGCATAATTTAAAAAATTATCCTTTTTAATATTATTATTTGGAAAATAGTAGACTTGCTTATGTGAGATTAGGATCTGTGTCAAACTGTAATTGTATATAGTGAAAATTATTCTTAAAAAATCCTTAAGTGTGGGGCAGCCCCGGTGGCTCAGCGGTTTAGCGCCGCCTTCAGCCCAGGGCCTGATCCTGGAGACCAGGGATTGAGTCCCATGTCAGGCTCCCTGCATAGAGCCTGCTTCTCCCTCTGCCTGTGTCTCTGCCTCTTCTGTCTCTCTGTCTTTCTGTCTCTCTCTCTCTCTCTTTCTCTCTCTCTCTCTCTCTCTCTCTCTGTCTCTCATGAATAAATAAATAAAATCTTAAAAAAAAAATCCTTAAGTGTGAATGCCTCACTGGCTTAGTTGGAAGGGCATGGAACTCTTGATCTCCGGGCTATGGGTTCGAGCCTCACTTTGGGTGTAGAGATTAATAAAAAAATAAAACTTTAAAAAAAATCCTTAAATGGCCCATTAAGTGAAATGTATGTAATTTTGGTATACAGCCCTGTACTGTGTGTATTACAGTAGTGTACAGTATACAATCAAGTATAATAATAAAGAGTACATATGCAAAATATAACTTTATAGTGTTTTTAATTATGTGAGAGTGTAACTCCTTCAGCTTTGGAATAGATTTGTTTTTTCCATTACATTTAACTTAGCAAGATGCTCACATTATTAGGAAAGAACAATTAAGAGAATGGCATTTTCAGGTACCAAGTCACAAACATTAGGACATATAAGGAAGAGAGAGGAAGGTTTTCTAGAGTTGATTACAATTCAGTTGCGTTTTCAAGGATGCATACCAGGAGGGTGTTTTAGGTTATGTGCTATAAGTAATTCTACACATGGAGCTATGTTTGGCATTATAGGAATATAGAAAATGAGGTTTAAAAAAAAATCCAAACTATGAATTGAACAGAGGTCAGATTATGAATGCCATGCTGGGAATCTGAAACTTAGGAAGGAGGCAGGGTCCTTCTTTAGTGTTAGAGGGGAAGTTCAAGATGAGAAGCAGATGATTAGAGGTCATTGGTATAGGCCAGATGAAATACAAAAGAACAAGGAGATCTTCCCCAAGACTAGGAATAGAGTTCACCCTGCTTTTTTTCATCGTGCTGTCTTGAAGTATGCATGGCCAATGACAAGACAAATGCAGGAGAGAAAAAACAGAATCCTGGGTTTAGGATCTCTTACAAGGGCAAAGCCAGGAAGGAGTAGCAGTCATCACCACTGGAGCTGGTGGGAAAGGAGAACAGACAACTTTGAGGGGAAGTCATAATTTGTGGCCATGACACCATGAGTGTGTGACTATGGGTTTATATACTCATGTATTGGGGACAGTTTTCAATATACCCTCAAAGGGAGAAGAAGGGTTGTGAAATTAAATGAATTAATATTTGTAATTTTAAAAATCCTTAAATGGCCTTAAATGGCAATGCTAGAGCAATGCATAGTACACAGAGCTTAGTGAATGTTAACCATCTTCATTATCATCATTGAATTCATTTCCTTTAATACTAGTGGTGACTTGGTCAGTAGTTTTCATACTCCTGAACATCACTGATTTTCATGGTCTTAAGATAACATTTTGAATGTAGATTCTCTTATACAATTGACATGAGAATATTTTTCCCATAACATTTATCTTTCTATATGAAGTTTATGGAAGGACCCCTTTTGGAAGGTCTATACTGGGACTCATGGTACACTAACAAGACGTTGTATGATTTAAAGAACAGCAGTCGCATCTACTATGAGAACATACTTTTAGGAGTCCCCAGAGTCCGTCAACTAAAAGTCCGCAACAACACATGCAAAGTCTATTCATCTTTTCAGTCTTTGATGAATGAATGTTATGACAAATATACTTCTAAAAGTGAAGACATGGATGAATTTGGCCTTAAACAGGAAACTGAGTAAGTAATGTAACTTTTTCTAACATCTTACCATTGTTTGTTTTTTAAAAAATTAGGAAAATATATATTTTTTCCAAATAATACCAACAATGGTCTGACAGGTAAGGAGACTATTTTAATAATAGTATCAAAGGAAGGAGTGGTGTTTAGAAAAGTAAGAGTGAAATGTGTTATTTTGATTACCAAAGGATATTAAGAGTATTTTTTCTAACAGATTGTGAAGTGCTAAGTCATTTTGGACATAAGGTAAAGAATCTATTTTTGCTTTTACAATACTCAATCAGTTTTTCTGTCTCTGACCAGACTCCCTCAAACACATCCCAAAAGTGTCTTGGGACCCCTAGGGAGTATCTTAGGTGTGCCCTGCTGCTTTCCTCCTTCCTCACTCTGGCTCACTTCAGTGATATCTTGTGTTACTGCCAATATGGAAGAGGAGCAGTTATGCTCTGAAGGCATTGCATCTGATGATGTCTTCCAAAGATATTACAGCAGTGTTCTCCAAATTGGCTGAGGCTAATGCTGATGTACACTCATGTCTATACTGAAAACATAAAACCCAAAACCACTGACATTGCCTCCCCTTAATACAGAAGATTCTGGTATCATTGCTTTTATGATCCTATGAAAATCATAAGGAGAGGGAACAAATTTTTTAATGTAATATTTATCAAAATGATACAATTTTCTAGAAGCAGCTTCTTTGACCTCTTCTAGTTGTTTCTTCTGGTGTACTTCCTATTTCTAAATGATGTGCTTATCCTGCTGTTACTTGATTTTACAGTTATATGTATCTGTTGTCTCTGTCATGAAAGGTGTCTGTCCTGTGTCCCTCCCTCTACACATAACTTCCCATTTCTCTTAGCCTGTAGTTAGATCTTAATTTTTGCTAATCATTAGTCAATGTTTATATTATAAATATGAGCAATGATTACATTGCTTTTCTTCAACAACCTCTTCTGTAGCCCCAAGATTAATCACTGCTTTGCAGTTTTTGTTGACTCATTTTTTCTTTAAGTTTTTGGTTATACTTTAGAATAATAAAGTGCTTGTATAATTCTTAGAAATCTAATAAACTCAAAAGTATAGTGACACATTCTCTTAGATATTACAGTACTATATACTACTCTTTCAATGAAAAATTACAAAATAAATCAGTTATTCAATTGCACATCTTAAATTGGAATCTGAAAACTAATCTGTTAGGTATTCTATTATTCCAAAATCTCCACAAACAACTACAATTAATTTAAATATCAAAATTAGGGACACTTGGGTGGCTCAGCAATAGACTGTCTGCCTTCGGCCCAAGGCGTGATCCTGGGGTCCTGGGATCGAGTCCCACATCGGGTTCCCCACAGGGAGCCCACTTCTCCCTCTGCCTGTGTCTCTGCCTCTCTATCTCTTATGAATAAATAAATAAAATATATAAAAATAAATAAATACCAAAATTAACACCACAGATTTGGAATTACAGTACTTGTTATTCCCTAACAACCAAAATAAGCATCAGTCTGGGCATGTTTGTCTATCTAAAATGTAACAATTAAAAACATAAAAAATTGGAAGTAGGAGAGGATTGGTGTAACAAATGTTTTTGTTCCAGTTTAACAACCATGTGGAAAACACTCAAAAATACAATGGAATTTTCTTTAAATCTGAGTATTTTTTCTTAGTGTTATCACTTTTCCCCCCTCCTGAAAATAAACACAGTACTATTAATATTAATAGAAAAATGAGTTTAATCAGTGCAGTGCACCTTTGGGAAATCATTCAAATCCTGTTTGGGGAGACCGAACAAGGACTTAAATTGAGGAGTCAAGACTTTATTTTTGATATCCCATAATTAAAAGTAGAAAGGATGGGGCGCCTGGATGGCTCATTCAGTTGAGCATGGGACTCTTGATATAAGCTCAGGTCATGATCTCAGAGTTGGGGGATCAGACCGGCCTCCCCCTCCACACTAAGCATGGAGTCCACTTGGGATTCTCTCGCTCTCCCTCTTCCCCTCCCCACCTCACATGTGCTTGCTCGTTCTTGATAAATAAATAGGATGGAAACAAAATTCAGTTATGCATATTTTACTTTGATTTATGAACTTTCATTAAAATACCTATTTAACGATCTAGACATTGTAGGAAAGCCCTTGTTTATTGACATTTATACATGGCATATGACCTGTAGAAGACAGACTACGAAGCTCCTCTTTTACTGTATGGAGACAAGTATTTCTGAATCATAGTGCTTGATATTCTTGTCCTACAAAAAGACTAAAGATCTCATAAGACAACAGAAACATGTATTAAAGAAAAAAAAAAACTCGGTCATGGTTTTCTAGATTATAAATTCCTTGAGGCAACAGATGGATTTTTTTAAAACCTTTTCTCATAGCATCTAGTCCAGTGTGTTGTCCACACTAAACACTAAAAAATGAAAACATACTAAATCCTTAACTCATTGTCTTGCTTCAAAACTACTATAATACTTATGAACTTAATACTGCTTTTTTTTTTTAAGGTACCGTAAATTCTTAGAATACATCTCAGTCAGGCTTTCTCGTCTCTCCGTTATTCTTTTTATACCTAACAGATGGAAGTATGCTGCTCCTACTAGTTCCTCCCCTTGGCACTGGGGATTTGTTGGTGTTTACCAAAATGGGGGATTTATTTTCACTTTATCAAAATCAAAATCTGAAACAAAAAACAAGTTCGTTGACCTTAAACTGAACAGCTGGATCACAAGAGGGACTAGAGTTATTTTTATTGATTTTTCATTATACAATGCTAATGTAAACCTGTTTTGCATTATCAGGTAAGTAACTCAAAACCTCTTTATTAGCCTCTTGAATTTAAAAAGCTTCCAAAGGGGCGGTTGGCTGGCTCAGTCACTGGAGCAGAGGACTTTTGATCTCAGGGTCATGAGTTTGGGCCCTACATTGGTGTGTAGCCTATTTCAAATACATGCATGCATATATAACATCCAGAGCCCTCATTAGGGTTTCCAGTTTGTGTGTGTACTGAGATTTAAATCATAAGCCCCAGGGGTGCCTGGGTGGCTCATTTGGTTAAACATCTGACTCTTGATCTCATCTCAGGCTTTGATCTCACAGTCATGAGTCCAAGCACCATGTTGGGTTCCACACTGGGCCTAGAGCCTACTTAAAAAAAAAAAAATCATAAGCCTCAAATATAATGTAGTTATGCCAATAATGAAAACTATGGTAAAGCAACATCATATTCATTGTTTCATTGTTTTGAGATATATTCAAGAAAATGGAGAATTATAGTATGTTTTATATTAAGGATATATAGTCCTATTGTCATTCTGCAGCTGTGCAGATCTAACGTTTAGTCTTGATTTCTTCCTCTAGATCATTCAAATCTGTTGATGTCCTTTCAGAATGAGCTTCTTCATTAAGTTATTAATTTTTGTCTCAAGAATGAACAATTTAAGTTCCAAACAATATACACCAATAGCCCATATCCTAGAAATGATTAGAGCCTGTGGTGATTTGCAAAAATGGCCCCCATTCTTCACATCTTTGCCATGTAACCTTGCAGTGCTCTGCCACCCAAGACCAGGTACACTTACACCCGGCTCCTGATGTTGGGCTCAGCCTTGTGACTGGATGTGGTCAACAGAATGGGAGCAGATGAGATACAAGCAGAAATTTGAAATGAGTTTGTATTTTAAACTTGTTCCCTTGCATTTCTACCATTACATGAGAAGGACACACCCAGGTGATTTGGACCCAGGGGAGATGATAAGAGGCATTTCCTTATGAGGAAGAGGAGGAGGTGGTGGAGGAGAAAAAGGAGAAAGAGAAGGCAGGGGGAGAGAACCCTCTAAAGAGAAAAATTCTTTCCATTAGTCTGATGATCTTAGGTCATTTGCCTAACCTGGACCATGCTAATTGGCTTTAGGCCCATGTTCTAGAATCAAACACTGACAAAGGAAAGAGGATTACCATGATTGGATCTGTTTGATCCATGGATCCATTGATCCATGATTGGATCGGGTTGAATCAGCTTCCTCTGAGTGATCTGGGAATGAGTGGATACCTGATACAATCAGGGTTCTGTTAGAAAAGAGGAATGGGATAATGACCACTAGACAAGCAAACAGTAGTATCTACTAAAATCTCAGTGAGCCTTACATCTCTCCCATGAGTCCTACATTTTTACTCTGAATGGAATACAGAATTGGTGTCTACTCTGATAAGGGCATTTTGTTCAACAGGGATAGTGAAACACAACCATGGCCTTTAAAATCTGGAAAAATGAATAAAATGAATAAAACAAATCGATTATCTTAAGTAGCCAATGGACATTATGTCATTTATAGTTTTTTTTCTCTTCTTACAGGGAATCAGAGCTTTTTTTTTTTTTAGTTTTTTAAAAGATTTTATTTTTTTAATAAATTTATTAAATCAGAGCTTTTTTACCAACATTAACCACTTTTTCCAACAGTCCTGCTCAGAATAAAGTGAAGAATACAAATCATTTTTATGTCTTAAATATGAGGAAAAACATTGGGATAACTGGTTTAAAATCATGTGGAGAACTCCTTGTTACACTAGACTAAGTGCAGCTTTCCTGTCTCTGGGGTTTCTGCTTATTCTGTTTCTGTCTTAAATGCTACTTTTTAGAAACCAGATTTTGAAACTTTAAACGGGTTGTATACCTAGTAAGTAGTTATATGGGAACACGTTACTTAAGACCTTATCCATTGATTTTCCTTTTGTAAACATGTCTGCCAAACTGAACTGAATGCTGTTCTTTTTTTCTCTTTCCATGAGTGTACAACTTCAGATCAAAATCTTGAATTCCTCTCACTGCACTCACTCACCATTCCACACCTACTACGTGCAAAGCAAAAACAAACAGTTCTGTTTTCTCTTTAACTGGTTTTTGGGTTTTTTTGGCAGCACCTTCTTCCACTACCAGTATTTACTAATATAGGAGTAACAGTCGGAATAATTACATTATGATAGAGATACTGGGTTCCTTAAATTACTGCCAATTCTTAGTTATTTGAAGTTACAGAGAAGAGTAGACATACAGTGAACAACTTCAAAACCTTTAAATTTAGTGTTGGAATTCATTTTTATCCTTGTATTTGCCTGTAGATCCTTGAATCCAACATCATGTGCCTAAAGTAAACAAGAAACATTTGTTTTAGTAGAATATGTAATCTTGACCCTTAGAAGCAAGACATGTCTCTGATAATCTAAAGGGGGAGAGGGTATTTTCCTTCTCTGAAATATTCAAGAATTATGTATTCTGGGCAGGGTGGGGGAGGAGTACTGATTAATAACAGTAAGTAACAGTGGGCAGCCCAGGTGGCTCGGCCATTTAGCGCCGGCCTTAGGCCCAGGGCCTGATCCTGGAGACCCGGGATCCAGCCCCACGTTGGGCTCCCTGCATGGAGCCTGCTTCTCCCTCTGCCGGTGTCTCTGCCTCTCTCTCTCTCTGTTTCTCATTAATAAATAAAATCTTAAAAAAAAAAAAACAGTAAGTAACAGTATAGCATTTTCTTGAACATCATCTCATTCTACTGTGGAGATAAAATAGTATTCCCTGTTATGACCAAGCAAGCTGAACACAGAGTAGAATGTCTGGCTAAAATCACATCTTACTTTTCTCAAGTACATGGGTCTTTGGCCACTGAATATTCAGAGTACAAAAGAAGCGGAGCCATTAAAAAGATAAGTGAGTGCACTAGAATTCCGTGTGTATTAAACATGATCCCAAGAGGACATATTTTGTACAAAATAACCGATTATTATAGTACACATCATCCCAGAAGTTTCACACTGAGCTAGGCACTGAAATCTAAATGCTTGAAATGAATGCACAGTCACCCTCACAACCTAATTTTACAGATTGGCGGCAGAATTCCCGGCAACCGGAGGAATAATTACTTCCTGGCAGTTTTACTCTGTGAAGCTCCTCAGATACGTTAGCTACTATGATTATATCATTGCTTCCTGTGAAATCACATTTTGTATTTTTCTTATTGTCTTCACAACACAAGAAGCCCAAAAAATAAGAGAATTTAAGTCTGCCTATTTCAAAAGTGTTTGGAACTGGCTAGAATTACTACTCTTGGTGGTAAGTATACATTCCTGTGTATGGTTGGAGGGAATCACATCTGAACTCTCCAGGGAGGGAGGTATAAAAAGCAGGATTTTCTGTTCATCTGGGACTTACTTTAAAAGCTGCAAGTATCAATCATAAAAAGAACTGTCACACCATTAGTATGCCTCCAAAACTAAGAAGTCTTATTTTTAAAAAAATATTTTATTTATTTACCCATGAGACACACACAGAGAGAGAGAGGCAGAGACACAGGCAGAGAGAGAAGCAGGCTCCATGCAGGGAACCCGATGCAGGACTTGATCCCAGGACCCCAGGATCATGCCCTGGGCCAAAGGCACCGCTGAGCCACCCAGGGATCCCTAGAAGTCTTATTTCTTTTTTCCTTCCTGATTTGGTCCTGGAAAGAATCAGCATAAACTTAGAAGAACAGGTGATTGTATAGGTATTAGGATTTAATGTGCACAGGTCTCCCTCCCCTCAAAAAAATGTGTTTCTTATAGCACCTCATGTTGAAAATCGTGGTTATTTTTGGACATGTGCTCTGCTATGTTGCCTTAATCCACTTTCCTCTTTACACTGAATTTTGAAAGAATATGCAAAATCAAGCCTAGAAAGAATACTGAGAGGAGGGGCAGGTGGTAGTGAGCAACAGAGGGTAGCTCCTAGGTACAGAGAACACCAGGACTGGGGAGACAGTCTCTGAAATTCCAGAAACTGCCAGTTCTCATCACTGGAATGTACTAAAATACAAAGAGGTCGGCAGATGGCAAGACATTAGTCTTAGGAACAATGAACAAACATTTCTGGCTTCTACGCTCCTATTGACACTTAGAGCCAATCCAGGATACAGGTTTTGTTTCTCAAAATGAGATTAAAAGTTTCTTGGCCAGCATGGGTGGCTCAGCGGTTTAGCGCCGCCTTCAACCCAGAGCATGATCCCGGAGATCCAGGATCAAGTCCCACGTCAGGCTCCCTGCGTGGAGCCTGCTTCTCCCTCTGCCTGTGTCTCTGCCTCTCTCTTTCTCTGTGTCTCTCATGAATAAATAAATAAAATCTTTTAAAAAAAAAAGTTTCTCATAGTGAGGAAATGTGCCACCTACATCTCTGGTGTCCTCATTTAGTATTTAACACACAACATGACATTGAATGTTTAACTATGATCATTTCAGGCCAAGGATGTTAAAGGAAGATTTTCATGACAGAAAGCTGTGATACCTGACATACCCTGGTTCTGAAATCCTCTTCCAGAAGAATTGTCAAAGGGCTCTCAAAGGGCTTTTTTTTTTTCCACAGGAAAAATTCTTTTTAGTGTGGCAAGGTAGAAGATATTAAACTTTTAGGTATCATGTGTATGGACGTGTTGAACTACTACACAGTTCACCTGAAACTAATATAACCCTACCTGTCAACTACATTGGAAATAGGCTTCTAAGAATCACATAGTTACATGAGGCAGAAATGCAGTCTTATCAGAATAATATTTTATAAATTTGTGCTTCATGACTCAGGCAGATAGATTAGGTTGGTCAGGTGATCAGTATTTTTGTACTTTTGTGATCCTGATGCTATCATAAACTTCATTAAGTTGAGGTTTATTTCCATTCATGTAAAAGCCTTCACCTTAATTCTCCCTTCTTTTTTGTTAAACTTCTGGGGAACTTTTTCCTGCGTCTGTTCATAGGCTGCAGGAGATTTAGAAGTAGAAATTGTCTCTAACTTTTCTTATTTTTCCACTCAGTTGTGCTTTGTGACTGTTACCTTCAACATATACTGTAATGTACAAATTTTTCTCTTACTTGGAGACCTGTTAAAAAATACTGAAAAATATTCAGACTTCTATTTTCTTGCATATTGGCACACTTATTACAACAATGTAATTGCTATCACCATCTTTTTTGCATGGATAAAGGTATTTATAATTTATATTAAATACACCAGATATATTTTTTACTGTATTGGATAGCAAAACAGGAACTAAAGCTGCAAATTATGGGGGGGAAAAGGATTTTCTTAACTACAAAGTAATTTTAAAGGTAGCTTGGCCTTGCAATGATTGTGGGCAAATCCTCAAACACTCCTATCATTAAGTACTTCCTTTAATTTGAAGCAATTTTTTTCTGAAATTAATTTTACTCTAAATAATTATATTATTCTTGTTTCAATTAACTTTGTTCTTTTTCAGATATTCAAATTTATAAGCTTTAATAAGACAATGTCTCAGCTGTCATCAACCTTGTCTCGCTGTCTCAAAGACATAGTAGGATTTGCCATCATGTTTTTTATAATATTCTTTGCTTATGCTCAGTTAGGATTTCTCGTTTTTGGATCACAAGTTGACGACTTTTCCACTTTTCAAAATGCCATGTAAGCTGCTAGTGTAAATGTAATTGTATTTACTAGCTTGTACGAAAAAAAAAATCATGGAAAGGCCTAAAATAAGTAGTAACATATGTTTTAATAAATTTAGACTTGGCTTTTTATTTTCACTGATAGCAAAATACCTGGTCACACTCAAAGTAGTATTTAGCATTAAAAGATCCAAATGGATAGTACAGTCCATTTTTTAAATGTTAAGAGGTCAAGTTAGAAAAATAATTTTTCACTGGTAAAAATTTTATCAGATATAACAGAAATTGGCCTCTATGTCTCTATGATATTTATTGTCTGGAGAAAAGAAAGCTTAAATGTTTTTCTTTAAGGGCTCTACCTTCAGAATCCTTTTACTGATATTCACTTGGTTGTCCTTTGCTGACCTGGCGAAGCTGTGTTTTGAAAATATTTTTATACACATAAAGCAATCAGCATGCAATGAACTTATACCACTTACCAGGTAGAATCCTTAGAAAGTATTCAGGCTTTTTTTTTTTTAAGTGAATAATTTAAATAAATTTACTCTCCTTTTTGGGTAAAGTAAGTTCTGTTTGTGTAAGAAAATTACAATAGTCTGAAATATCAATTCTCAAAATATGTTCTGTGTAACTTAGATCAAGATTGGAGGGAAGTGGCTTCATATTTAAATAAGTTTTTGAAATTTGGCATCACTCTTTTGAAAATTTGCAGTGCATATTAACATATGGCCTTGAGGAAAACTGCAAGAAACTTCTTTAGTTTAGAAAAAATTACTTGTCGATTCCCTTTTACTTGGTTTTGGGAGAACTTTGGTCTAAAGAAACGTTTTAGGTTGCTCTCTCTTCACCATCCACATGGAAATCCTTGAAGTGCCAGTTCTAAGAAATACCATAATAATTTCTGGAATAATCCTTTATTAATCAGTAGTGGAAAGAAGAGTGGACTAGGAACCAAGGGGATATAGTTCTACTCTCCAATTCTGCCACTAGCTATTCAACTTTTCTAGACCATTATTTCTTTTTTTTTTAAGATTTTATTTATTTATTCAAGAGAGACAGAGAGAGAGAGAGAAGCAGAGACACAGGCAGAGGGAGAAGCAGGCTCCATGCAGGGAGCCCGACGTGGGACTCGATGCCAGGATCATGGGATCATGCCCTGAGCCGAAGACAGATGCTCAACCACCCATCAACCTGGGTGTCCCTAGACCATTATTTCTTTATCTGCAAATGAAGAGACTGAACTAAATTAATCCCAAAGATCCTTTCCAATGTCAAACAGCCTATAATCTGCAAAGTTTAATTAGCTTTCTCATGAGTGAATTATGTTTGCAGTTCCTAATTCTTGGTCCTTTCCTAGGATCTTATTTCAAGCATTACTTAATAATAAAATGTAGTAGTATTGGACATTGAATATAAATGCAGTAATTTAAAGAACCTGGAGGGATCCTGGGTGGCTCAGCAGTTGAGTGTCTGCCTTCGGCTCAGGTCATGATCCCAGGGGATCTAGTCACGCATTGGTTCTCCCTCTGCCTGTGTTTCTGCCTCTCTCTGGGTCTCTCATGAATAAATAAATAAAATCTTTTTTAAAAATTAAAAAATAAAATAAAGAACCTGGAAATTGGTCTTACTTGATATAGTGAGGAAGAAAGGAAGTATAAGGCACAGAATAAATAGGTAGACAACTTTAGACTGCATTAATGAAGGGACTTCCGCTTTTGGTAATAATGTGCTAGGTTATTCAGATCAACCTCCATTCAAGACAATTTAAAAAGCTAGATGAGGGGCACCTGGGTGGCTCCATTAGTTAAATATCTGCCTTAGCTCAGATCATGATCCCAGGGTCCTGGAATCAAGCCCCAAGTTGGGCTCCCTGCTCAGTGGGGAGACTGCTTCTCCCTCTCCTTCTGTCGTTCCCCCTGCTTGTGCTCTCTAGCTAGCGCTCTCTCTCTCTCTCTCTCTCAAAATAAATAAAATAGTAAAAAATAAAATAAAAATAAAAAGCTAGACAAAATCAGATAACATTGAAGAACTAACCAAAAAAAAAGATAGTGGATCAGAACCAAAGAGCAAGAACCCAGAGAACTAAGCTCAGCATCCAAGGCTTCTCTTGCCCCAAAGGCTTTTCTTTAAGTTGATAAGAATTTCTTTTACTGTGTTAAAATATACATAAAATTTACCACCTTAACCATTTCTAAGTGTACAATTCAGTGAGATTAAGCACATTCATATTGTGCCACCATCACCACAATCCATCTCCAGAACTCTTTTCCTTTTGTAAAACTGAAACTATGCCTATTAATCAAGAATTCTCCATGTCCCCTTCCCCAGTAACCACCATTCTACCTTTTGTGTGTGTGTGTGTGTGTGTGTGTGTGTCCCTCTTATTAACTCTAGGTGCTTAGTGAGATGATCATACAGTATCTGTCTTTTCATGACTGATTTACTTCACTTAGCAGGTCTCCAGGATTCATCAGTGTTGAGCAATATGTCAGAATTTCCTCCCTTTTTAAAGCTGAATAATATCCCATTCTATGTATAAATCTCATTTTGATTATCCATTAATCTGTTAATAGCCACGTGGACTTCTTCCAAGTCTTAGCTTTTGTGAATAATGCTTCTGTGAACATGGGCATACAAATCTCTTCGAGACTCTGCTTTCAATTCTTTTCGGTGTACACCCAGAGGTGGAATTGCTGAATCCCATGGAAATTCTATTCTAAATTTTTTTGAGGAACCACCATACTGTTTTCTACAGTGGCCGCATCATTTACATACCTTCCAATGGTACACCAGGGTTTCAATTTCCCTACATCCTCATCAACACTTGTTATTTTCTGGGCTGCTTTTTTTTTTTTTTTAATAGTAGACATCCTAATGGGTGTGAGGTGATATCTCATTGTGGTTGTGATTTGCATTTCCCTGATGGTTGGTGATATGGAGCATCTTTTCATGTCCTTAGGATATGTTGGTCCCTTGATGGTGTCCCAGAGGCTCTGTTCATTTTTCTTCAATCTTCTTCCTTTCTGTTTCCCAGGCTTGATAATGTCAATCATCCTATCTTTAGGTTCACTGATTTTTTTTTTCTTCTGCCTACTCAAATATCCCTCTGACTCCCTCTAATGAACTTTGATGTCAATTATTGTATTTTTCAGCTCTACAATTTCCTCTTGGTTTCTTTTGGTTTTCTATATCTTTATAGATATTTCCATTTTGTTCATAAACCATTTTCTTGACTTCCTCCATGTCTTATAGTTCTTTGAGCATCTCTAAGATGGCTGTTTTAAAGTCTTTGTCTAGTAGGCTTGCCATCTGGTTTTTCTCAGGGATAGTTTCTGTTGGTTTATTTTTTTCCTTCGATGGGTTCATAGTTCCTGGCTTCTTTGTATGTCCTGTCTTTTCTAGTTGTTGAAAACTGGACATTTGAATGCAGAATGTGGTAACCCTGGAAATAAGATTCTTGCCCTTCACCAGGTTTCCTGTTTTATTATTATTATTATTATTATTATTATTATTATTATTTACTGTCTTCATACCGAGGATTAGCCTAAAGTGTAAAAGTTCTTTTGTAAACAAATTTTATTCATTTATTTGACAGAGAGCATGCATGCGCACAAGCAGGGGGAGTGGCAGGCAGGAGAGGGAGAAGCAGGGATCCCCACACAGAGCTCGATCTCAGGACCCTGGCATCATGATGTGAGCCGAAGACAGAAATTTAACTAACTGAGCTACCCAAGTGCCCCATGTAAAGGTCTTCTTAAGTCTTTTCTGAGCCTGCATGTTTCTTGGAGATGCATGGTGACTTTCTAATTTCCTCTATATATGCAGTTGCTTTTGATGTCTTTATTGTCTGGCTCCAAAGGGGATGTCTTTAATGTCTGGCTCCTTTTCCTTAAAAAAGGAAAAATGAAGGAGGAGGGGAGGGCACCAGCCATTTAATCCCAAGGACATTTCTTCAGCAAGAGGGAGAGGGACATGCAACAGACAGGGGAATATGCCCACCTCTGTCTGCACCCCGTGATCAGAAGGAGCTATCAGCAATCAGAACACAGACCCTTAATGTTTGGAGAACAGTGTCCTGATTGCCCACCCTCACTCCCAGAGGTTGCATGCAAGCTGCCCCAGGGATACATGCATGGCTGCCTGCCATGGGCTCGGGGGTGGGAGATAGGTAGTTTTTGCCAACCTGAAACCTGAAATAGACCAAACTTGTCTAAGCCTTCCCCTGACCATTGCTAGCCTTAACGAGGCTCCAGAGCTCCAAAACAGTTACACCAAATTCTGCCTATGTGATTGTTGTCTAGGTGGGGACTTACATTAGTAAGTCCTAATGTTTCTTACTCCACCACCTTCCTCAAACCCTCCACCATGAAGGCATTTTTGATGATCCAGAGAAATAGTCAAGAAACTGTGCTCCTCTGAGGTGGGCACTTGACGGGATGAGCAGTGGGTGTTATTCTATATGTTGGCAAACTGAACACCAATAAAAAACAAATCTATAAAAAAAAAAAAAAAGAAAAGAAACTGTGCTCCTGGCCACCTCTCCCAGAAAGGAAACAGAAGGCAAAGTCCAGAGCTTGCCTGGGGGGTGTCAAGGAGAGGGCTTATCTGAGAACTTCTCCACACATCAGGCAAGGAAACTGAAGTGCTAGTGCCTCAAGTTAAAGGTGAACCAATCCCTCATAATTTCCCAGGTATCCGGGGAATTTCATGTCTTAAAGTTGGATTAAGATGGTCCTGGGCTAGAATGTCTGTGTGCATCTGCAGACACAAACAAAAAACCTCTCTGGAGAAAGGTTTATTCATTCTAAGTCTCAAATTACTTCTACAAGCAATTTTTCAAATATAACTTACTATTGATAGTCAAAACCAACCTGGTACAGAAGGGGTAAGAAATCATAAGCAAGAATTAGCAGAACAGACTCAAAGACTTCTGATACTGGAATAACGATGCAATACTTCCTATATTTAGAGAAATAAGACATAAGTCAGAAAATATCGTTATAGAACAGGACAGTATAAAAATTACATATTTGAAAAAGTATCAAAAACAGAATTCTAAAACTGAAAATTGTAGTAACTGAGATTTAAAACCTAGTTGACATGGGGCACCTGGGTGGCCCAGTCAATTGAGCTTTGGACTCTTTATCTCGGCTGGGGTCTTGAGCTCAGGATTGTGGGTTTGAGGCCCACACTGGGCTCCATGCTGCACATGGACCCTACTTAAAAATAAAAAACAAACAAACAAAAAAAAAAAACCCTAGTTGGTTTGACAGCAGGTTTGACAGCAAGTAAGAGATTAAGATAATGAATAAAGTAAAAAATAGGTCAGCAAAGAATTACTGAAAATGTGGCGTAGAGATACATCAGGTGGGAGAAGGTATGAGATAGACTGGAACAAGAAGGCCTAACATGTTTAACTTGAGTTACAGAAGACAGATAGTGGACTAGGCAATATTTGGAGAATGCTGAGAAATAGCTAAGTATCCAGGCATGTGAAGTCGTATTAACCATAATGGTATATCATTATGGAATAATCTGTTAGCTGCAAGTTTTCTCAGTAAAAGAGAACTATAGAAAGTTACCAAGGGTATCAGGAAGCTACAAAATAGTATTTTCATTCAACATAACCCTGTATGCAAAGCAGTCATGGTGTTCCTTTTAGCTTAGGGTGGGAGGGTGGGAGGAGATAAACTCCAATTAGGAGGAGAAAAATGACAATTACATTGTTTGAAATGTCCTGATTATAACCATTCAGCAAATTGGTTAGGGTTTTGTTATTCACATTACTTACACAGCAGGGGTATCTGGATATTTTCCTGATAGAGAAGGGCTGAATGGGAGCTGTAGTTAATGAGCTAATTTCTGGAGAAGAGAAATGATGCTTTAACTTATCTTTTCTCCTATAAATACACCTCAAAGATTACAGATCAAGGTTGATCTCCTATACCAGAGAGGAAAAAATATTTGTTAAGAGACTTTGTTTTTCTTCCAGGTCAGCTTATCTTTTTCTATCTTGTATAGAAGAACATTATGAAACAGTATTAAAAGCTGAATAAGGGATCCCTGGGTGGCGCAGTGGTTTGGCGCCTGCCTTTGGCCCAGGGCGCGATCCTGGAGACCCTGGATCGAATCCCACGTCGGGCTCCCGGTGCATGGAGCCTGCTTCTCCCTCTGCCTATGTCTCTGCCTCTCTCTCTCTCTCTCTCTCTCTCTCTCTCTCTCTCTGTGTGTGTGTGTGTGACTATCATAAAAAAAAAAAAAAGCTGAATAAATGGAGTACCTAGGTGGTTCAGCCAGTTAAGTGGCCAACTCTTGGTTTCAGCTCATGTCATGATCTCAGGGTTGTGATCTCAGAGTCATGAGATCGAGCCCAGTGTCAAGCTCCGGGCTCAGCATGGAGTGTGCTTAAGATGCTCCCTCTCTCTTTGCCCCTCCCCCCTGCTCTCTCTTGCTCTAAAATAAATAAATCTTTAAAAAAAAAAAAAAGAAAAGAAGAAAAGGCTGAATAAACACTTTAAGTATGATTTAATTGTGTCTTAGGTACCCAGGATGAAACTCCAGGTAACTCTTGAGTCCAAGTAGCCAATTTCTTTAAATACATTTTCTTCTTTCATTGGTTTTTTGTTTGTTTTATTCAAATTCAATTAATTAACATATGATGTATTATTAGTTTCAGAGGTAGAATTCAATGAATCATCAGCCTTATATAACACCCAGTGCTCATCACATCAAATGCCCTCCTTAATGCCCATCACCCAGTTACCCCATCCCTCCACTCCCTCCCCTCCAGTGACCTCACTTTGTTTCCTATGATTAAGAGTCTCTTCTGGTTTGTCACCCTCTCTGGTTTTGTCTTATTTTTTTTCCTCTCTTCCCCTATGATCCTCTGTTTTGTTTCTTAAATTCCACATATGAATTAGATCATATCATAATTGTCTTTCTCTGACATTTCACTTGCATAAGGCCTCTAGTTCCATCCACATCATTGCAAATGGCAAGATTTCATTTTTTTGATCGTTAAGTAGTATTCCATTGTATTTATATTCCACATCTTCTTTATCTATTCATCTGTGGATGGACATCCAGGCTCTTTTCATAGTTTCATCCTTCATTGTTTACAGCTATATGCTCCCTTTACATGCTGGGTAAAAGCAACCAGGAATAAGAAGACTTCCTCTTTTTGACTGACTAACCAATCAAGCAAAGTATCTACATACTACTAAAAAATTCCATCCCAGGCTTCCCCATAAAATAAAGAACTCATTTTAAGCATCTAATAGCAGTAACAATGGCATCAAAATATATCAAACATATATTCAAATAAGGCAAAAGTATCAAATGTAGTTATTCCTTTTTTTTAAAATGTGGTTATTCCTAATTAGCTTATGAATTTTTAAAACTTTTTCTTTAGTACTTTCTAAAATTTCTCCTATGAACATGCATTATTATAATTAGAAAAACTGGACTGCTGCTTTTTTCTCTTTTAATTGTCCAATATTAGAGTCCTGGCTATACATATGAAACATAAAATAGATGTTATCCATTCCAGAAAATATGAGTAATAAAGAAGCATGTTACTGTTACAAAGCAAGAGTAACAGAGATTATTTTCCTATGTACTGTTCACGTAATACAAAGAAAAAAATTTAGTTTCATCTAATTATTAGTAATTTTTAAGTTATTAATTTAAAATGATCAACTCAGGAACCTGGGTTTTAAAAATGGAAACGACAAATCTTTTTCTAACCTAATAACCTACTGACCCAATGACCTCCTTTGGAATATAGGTTAAATCTGGTATCATTTCCTTTGGAATTTAGGTTAAATCTGATTACTGGGACTGTTGGCTCTATTAACATTAATTAAAATAATGCTGAAATTTAATTGCTGGTATAATACAGAACCCAAGCAACAATCTTTAACTATGTTTATCACCATTTATGCAAAATTCTAACTTGCTTCTGCAGATTGCTCAGTGTTTGTATTACAGCTAAAAAGATAATTATTCCTAAGAAAACAATTTTAACTTGTAAAGAAAGATCCAAATACTTTTAAAATTGTTTAATATATGAATAAAGATGAAATTAAACAGTTCTCAACTTAAAAAAATGAATAATCTACATAATGTATAATATATACCTGGCATGTCTGGCAATGCCATTGCAAATTAATGATGAAAAAATAAGATGTTAAGTAATCCTAATTCTACCTCTCCTACTACTGTGCTCAAAGCCTTAATTTCTTAATTTTCCACCTTTAGTATTAATAAAATGAAGATCTGTAATATTTTAAATATTATTTTATATCAAATCCAAGATTTATAGTTATTGAAGAGAATAAAATAAACCTCAGGGGGCGCTTGGGTGGCTACATTGGTTGAGCATCTGACTCTTGATTTTGGCTCAGATCATGATCTCAGGGTCCTGGGATTGAGCCCTGAGTGAGTTCCGCACTCAGCTGGGAGTCTTCTCTCTCTCATCCTCTCCCTCTGCCCCTTTCCCTGCTCACTGGCATGTGTTCTCCTTCAAAAAAAACCAAAGAAAACAAAAAAACTCCAGATCATATTTGAGGATCATTACCAGCACTTGAGACTCAGCAAGTGACAAATTGTTGCATCTTATTTTAGCAGAAGAGGTATACAATTTAAACAGCACATATTTGATATTTGATATTGATATTTGAAAATTTTATATTGATATTTGAAATTTTAGGGTTCTTGGGTCTAGGTACAAGTTGAAAATCCTGATTGGACAAGGTCAGGTATTCTAAGTTTTAGAAGAGCACAGGAAAGGCTAAGAAAGCTATAGCCAAGATTAATTGGTAAGCAGGTATCTCAAGGGCCAAATCTTGCCGGTGAACATTCAGTAAGTGGCAGCCTGTCATTTCCTGAATCACCGCTGAGCTATTGAAGTACTATGTCTTAACTGTGGGGCGACTCTCCACACCTAGTTTTATAGGACTGTGCTAACATGACTAACACCAGAGAACCTATGCCATATGCAGCTGGATGGATATTTTCCTAGACACAGTGGTAACCCCCATCAGTTCTCATTTATGTACGAGGGGCTATAATGTTTTCCTTTCTTCCTATCAAAGATTTGCACAATTTCGAATTGTTCTTGGAGATTTTAATTTTGCTGGTATTCAGCAAGCCAATCGTATCCTGGGACCCATTTACTTCATCACTTTCATCTTTTTTGTGTTCTTTGTCCTGCTGGTAAGTATGACCATATATGTTCCTTTTGCTTATATTTTTTTAGAATAAAAAAAAATGAAATTGACTTAGAAGAAATCACAGTATCACTGCTTAGCGGTCAGAACTTTTTACATTTATTAGGAATTGTGTGGATTCCTAAGAATCCAGGCTATGTCCTGTGTCTAGATGTTTTCAATTTGTCCAAAGGAGACCATAATCACAGTAGTTACCATCTTGGTGTCTCCCGTGTGCTAGTCATGTGCTCAATCTTCTCCACATATAACTTGAATATCCCAGGTCTCTCCAGCCCAAGACATCCCACACTGGTAGGGATGAATATGCTCTGCCCATAGCACAATGGCTTCTAGCTCTTATGGCTAAAAGCTCCTACCTTTGTGATTTTTAGAAGTCTCCAGGATGGGTCTTCCATGTGTGCAGGACAAATTGATTTGGTCTTCCTAATCAGGAAAACTTGTTTTCCTAGTCCAGGCATTGCTGCAGTCCTCCTTAAAAACATTTTGTCAATGTGCAGCAGTTATGCCCTGGTGGTGGCCAAAAGTCCTCAGAGTGACAGAGTTGGGCTTCAGCGAATGGTAGGCGGAGAGTAAAATACCCTTACCACAGCTGTTTGTATTATCTGAACAGAGTATTCATAAGAGCTTTAGTATGGCTGTGCATTTAAACAGCTTATAGAATTAAAAAAAATACTCTCATGAACATATAGTTACATTATTCTATTTTCTTCTGATATGCAATGTTTACCAATTAGTGTATTTGCATGTGTGTATACATACATACATACCAGTTCATATGCATATTTTATATTTTCTCATTTACCATATTTTCCTATATCCATACTCTATACATTCCTCATTCTACTATGTTATAGTCTGCATGGCCATTTCTCTATTACTATCATATGAGCTACGTTATTTTTATTTTTTTTAAAGATTTTATTTATTTATTCATGAGAGACACAGAGAGAGATAAAGAGCGTGAGAAGCAGGCTCCATGCAGGGAGCCTGACATGGGACTCGATCCCAGGTCTCCAGGATCACGCCCTGGGCTGAAGGCAGTGCTAAACCGCTGAGCCACCTGGGCTGCCCCATATGAGCTACTTTAAAATTTTAAATCTAATTTTACAAATCCCAGCACTCATCAGAGTCACTAACATGTAAGTTTTTACTGAAATAATTATGTGATTTTTTTTTCAGAACATGTTCTTGGCAATTATTAATGATACCTATTCTGAAGTGAAAGCTGATTATTCAATAGGCAGACGACCAGATTTTGAACTTGGTAAAATGATTAAAAAGGTATGTCCAAGTCTTTTCCTAACTCAAATTTTTTACGCTTTTATGTATTTATTCATGAGAGACACAGGAGGCTTTAGTTCACATTTGCGAGATTCGAGGACATGTTGAATTCTCATTGCCGACACTGGATTAGGGCCCTCTGCATATTCTTCACCCAGCCTTGAGTATAGTAACATCTTCTGGCCTCATTCCTGCGCCAGCCCAGCTATGTTATCACTTCTCTGCCAAAATTCTTCAGAATTTCTCTGGGCCCATCAAATAAGTCCAAGGGCCTCCTTAAGTCTCCCAACTTCTCTCTAATCACTATCACTGAACTACACATAGCGTTCCTACCTTCAACTCCATTTACAGCATTGTTATGTCCCAGCTCGTGTTTGAGCACAATGCTGTATACCATCTCTTGCTGTTCCTCTCCCCCTGCGCCTCTGCTCATGTCACTCACTGACCCCAGCAATGCTCCCTCCATCCTGACATTCTGTTCTCTGGCATCTTCCCTGTCCTCTTCAGCACCTACTTCACTTGAGTTCTTAGCAGAGTCATGAGTGTGCCATCTTGCCCACCTCTGCATAGCCATGGCTCTAATCACATCACTTCACATAGCAAAAGTCCTAAAAGACGTGAGGTTATTAGTGTTTGAAAACTGTCCCAGAACTCACTTGTAAAATGAAACTATTAATATGCCCTCCAGTGAGCTAAAGCGTAGGTTTTTTCATCTTTTTAAAGATTTTTTTATTTATTCATGAGAGAGAGAGAGGCAAAGACACAGGCAGAGAAAGAAGCAGGCTCCATGCAGGTTGCCCAATGAAGAACTTGATCCAGGGACTCCAGGATCACGCCCCGGGCCAAAGGCAGGCGCTAAACCGCTGAGCCACCCAGGGATCCCTCATCTTTCATCTCTTGATTATTATGCTGCTAATGTGCATTAGAGTGTTAACATTCTTTTTTTTAAAGATTTTATTTATTTATTCATGAGAGACACAGAGAGGCAGAAATGTAGGCAGAATGGAGAAGCAGGCTCCACACAGGGAGCCCAATGTGGGACTTGATCCCAAGACTCCAGAATCACAACCTGAGCTGAAGGCAGACACTCAACCACTGAGCCACAAGGCATCCCAAGTGTTAATATTCTTAAATGCAATAAATGTTAATAAAACTTCTTAATCATTTTTTTCAAGTTCAAGTGTGATGCTCACAAGAGCACCCCTTTTTTTCACTAGCAGGCAGAAAACATATGCAGTGACAAAGTGAAGGAAAGAAAATCATAGCATTGCCTCCATATTTCTTTAGGGTTGTAGTAGTCCCTAGAGACAAGCATTCCATATTTCTTTTTCCTTGATCAGAATATACGATATTTATTTGCTGAAGTTTTAAACTATTTTTAATTATGTCTAGAGTTACAACAATGCTCTTGAAAAGCTCAGACTAAAGAAACCTGAACAGGATGAAGACATAAGGTAGGATTTTTAACTTACCATTTAAGACTGTTTATTATATGAGAAACTCACAATGAGTGAGGTCTTGATTGCAAAACAATCACCATCCAATGTGTTGATTCCAAATACATTGTCAATACATCCTCCAATAGTGCCTAATTCTGAGAGTGCTATGATATTCTAAGCTAAGCTAATTAAAAATTAATAGAACATATGCCATGCCACTCAGAAAAAGCTTTAACAGAAAACTGGACAGGACAATACAGACCCCCTAAAAAGGTAGTTAAAAATTTTAGTCTGCACTAAGCACATTGACTTAGCTATCAAAATAAAAACATTTTTATACAAAATATTTGATACCTTTATATTTAATAAATCATTTTGCTGCCAAAATGCTTCCCAAGCCCAGGCCTGTGGCCATGGGACATAATATAAACACTTTTTTACATCTAGAGATGTGACACTCTGGAGAACTTATTAATGACCACATTTTCCAAATGACTGGTGTTATCAAAAAGACCAAAAATGCAGTTCAGAGCCTAACTATAGAGCTGATCATATTTTATGTTGGCATTTCCTTTTCTACTGTCATATGTCTCTGGTTTTTATTTTATATTCTTAGTATGAAAGGAGATTTGGCTGAGCAAGCCAGAAGAGAAGGCTTTGATGAAAATGTAAGATTTTAACTTTCTCATAAAGATAGCTTTATTAGAAATATGCCTACAAGAGTTCTGATTAATAATTGAAATGATCTGCATTCTTTAGAGCAGTAGCTGCCACCTCCAAAAACGTCTCCCAGTCTACCTATTTTGTTTAGAACAAGTCATTTCAATCCTACAAGCTACCTGTCTTATTGTTGCTCTCAGCCAGATTCTTGGTCCTACAGCTGTACAGTCGCTGTGGGATTATCACACAGGGTTTACTGAGTATACTCTTATTGACATGATTATATAATTTTCCTCTTGATATCATTAATGTGATGAATCACTTTAATGTTTTATACAGTTGACCCTTGAACAACAGAAAGGTTATGTTTACAGTACTGTAAAAAAAATCCATGTGTAAGTGGACCCACACAGTTTAAACTTCACGGGTCCACTTATATGTGGGTTTAAAAAAAATACAGTATTTATTACGAATGTATTTTCTCTACCTTATGATCTTCTCAGTACTTTAATACAGTATATAATACATAGTATATACAGAAAATGTTTTAATCAACTGTTTATAGTATAGGTAAGGCTTCAATCAACAATAGTCTATTAGTTGTTAAGTTTTCAGGGAGTCAAAAGTTACACACATTTTCAACTGCACAGGGGTTGGTGCCCCTGTGTTGTTCAGAGGTCAGTGGTACATGTACTGGAGTGAGGTTTCCAACTGTGAGGTAAGGGAGTCCCAAAATGGAAAGGCTGAAGGTTAAAATGAACTTTGTGGTGTTGGATTAGAATTGTAGGTGTGCGTGTGTGTGTGTGTATTCTATAGCTCTATCAACGCACTAAGTCTAGTAAAAACTAGGTTAGTTGCCCAGACCTTGGTTCCCAAATACCATTCTATTCTAAAAGGAACCAGGGCCTCTGAGGAGATGCGGCTAAATTCCAGGGCTGGAAAATACAACGTGAGTCTGGAATATCTGGTTGAGCCAGAAAGTAAAAGTGCTCAAAGAATGATGAAGATCTGTTAAAAAGACAAAAGGTCAGGTTCAAGGGGCCCTCACTAGCCCAATCTGGGAATATTTAAGCACCATAATGAATAATATGTGTAACCCATTGAATAACATAGGATTCCACTGACCTAAACATATACATGGACAAAAACTGGAGGAAAATGGAACTTCTGCATACTTCTCCACAAAATGCATATTAATTACAAAAAAAAAAAGGAGTTATGTCAGGGTGGGGGAATCTGGCAGACTGTGCCTTGGTCAGTATGGGAAAAAACTGAAATCATACATCTTTTGATAAGATGCTAAGAAAACACAGCTTTTATAATGCTCTTGCCAAAGATGTGTAACATAACAAAATATCACACAAAACTAAACTACTCGCCTGTATTCTTCAAAGTATCAAGAAAGCCAAGGTAAAGCTGAGGAACTACACCAGACTGAATGAGTGTAAAAGACAAATCATTGTAATGCCTAATCCTGGACTCTAGATCCTTTTACTATAAAGGGCATCACTGAGACAACCGGGAAATTCGAATGGGAGACTCAGCATTAGAGGATAATAATCTATCAATATCAATTTTCTGATTCTGATGTTTATGCTGTGATTATAAAGGAGAATGTCCTTGTAGCAGCAAATACACACTGATTTGCTCAGGGACAATGGGACATTCGTGTTGGCAACTCCAGATAGTTCGAAGGAAAAAAAAGTGTATTGTTTTTCCCTAAGTTTGAGAGTCTTTAAATCATTTCTGAAATAAAAGATGATGTAAATTGAAAATCATACTGTGTTCCCAGGGGAAATCAGCTAGAATGAACATAATACTCATCCAAGTAAAATATGGACTTAAAAGAGAGAAAGAAAACCAGGTTAGCATGACAACATTCAACACCATAATCAAAAGAACCATATCTACAATATGCAAGGAAAGAAAATGTAAGCCAAGCATATTTATATCCAGCAGACCTCTGCTTCAAGTGTAAAGGCTCAAGTAGTTTTAAACATGCAAGAACTCAGGCAGCCCGGGTGGCTCAGCGGTTTAGCGCCACCTTCAGCCCAGGATGTGATCCTGGAGACCCAGGATTGAGTCCCACCCTCAGGCTTCCTGCATGGAACCTGCTTCCCCCTCTCTCCCTCTGCCTGTGTCTCTGCCTTTCTCTCTTAAAAAACAAAACAAAACACAACAAAAAAAAAAACATCCAAGAACTCAGAGAATACTGTTGTATTCCTGAGGATTTTATAAATGGATTGGCTTCAGCCAACCAAAAGACGATTGGAGAAATTTTGGAAAAAGGAAGAGGGGAGAGAGAAGGTATAAAGTAAAAGTTGACTGGTTCGCATATATAGCTAAAAGTTAAAGAATTATCATTTAGAATTAATAACCAGTCAGAATGTATTAGTATATTTAATACAATAAGAGTAAGAAGTTGTTTCATTGAATTTAAAACATTTTTTTTCACATTTTAACATAATTAAAATCAAGATGTGCCTTATAGCTGACACTGTATCATATTGTAACTGGCAGCCTTTCTTTCTTAAGTTGTCCATAAAGAATGATGTGTCTTACACTAGACTCCATCTCTAAAATACCATGAAATACAGTAATAAGACTAAGTATATTTGGGTTAATATAGAGGAAAATACCACAAGCTCATTTTCTTGTTGAACTTGTTTCTTTGTTGAGGGAGCCACAGCAAGAAAGAGAGGACCCAGGTTGTATTAAAAAGAGACATGAAAGGGATCCCTGGGTGGCTCAGCAGTTTAGAGCCTGCCTTTGGCCCACAGCGTAATCCTGGAGAGTCCTGGGATCAAGTCGCACGTCGGGCTCCCTGCATGGAGCCTGCTTCTCCCTCTGCCTCTCTCTCTCTCTGTCTCTCATGAATAAATAAATAAAATTAAAAAAAAAGAGAGAGAGGCATGAATAAAAACAAACCACTAAAACAAAAATACATACATTCCTAAGGGCAGAAGAACCAAAACAAAAATGAAAACAAAATATACCATGTGGTAAGAAATTTAAAACACACCATAAAACAGTATGATGTAACTGTGACCAGTTATGTCTGACATATCAGTACAAGCAACTAAACTTAATTTACTGAAAAAGAAAAAAACATTTTCAGATTAAATCACAAAGCAACACCCAATTCTATGCTATATTCTAAAACATGTACCTAAAACAAAGTGATTCAGAAGAGTTCAATATAAAAGCATGAGCAGGGCAGCCCGGGTGGCTCAGCAGTTTAGCACCGCCTTCAGCCCAGGACGTGATCCTGGAGACCCGAGATCGAGTCCCATGACAGGCTCCCTGCATGGAGCCTGCTTCTCCCTCTGCCTGTGTCTCTGCCTCTCTGTGTGTGTCTCAGTAGTTAATAAATAAAATCTTTAATAGGTAAATAAATAAAAATAAAAGCATGAGCAAAGGTGCAAACAGGTTTAGCAAAAGATTTAGAGGACACAACTGAATGTAAGTCAAGGTAGAATTCTAGAACTAAAGAATTCTAAATGGCATGAAGGGCACTTTATGGTGCTAACATCAACTTTAATAGTTATGATTATCTATGCATCAAATAATACAGCATCAATTCCATCAAGTATGGCCTACTAAACTTATAAAATAAGAAACAGACAGGAACACACTAAAAATAGAGAAGAGATCAGGAAAAATAAAAGGCTAAAAAACCCACAAAATAATATAATGGATAAGGTGACCTTAGAGTTGTGAATCTAACTTTATACTCTCAAAGATATGTCTGCTTTTCAAAAACCCGTTCATGAAAAACATTCATATATTGGGCCACAAAGAACCTCAATAAATCCTTGGGATCCCTGGGTGGCGCAGCGGTTTGGCGCCTGCCTTTGGCCCAGGGCGCGATCCTGGAGACCCGGGATCGAATCCCACATCGGGTTCCCGGTGCATGGAGCCTGCTTCTCCCTCTGCCTGTGTCTCTGCCTCTCTCTCTCTCTGTGACTATCATAAGTAAATAAAAATTAAAAAAAAAAATTAAAAAAAAAAAGAACCTCAATAAATCCAAAAATTGGTTAATATAGAAAAGATTATTTAAAAGCAACACAGTAAAAATGGTTTAACAAAATGAGGAAATAAAAAGATTAAGATTTTATTAAACAATTCTTGTGGTGCCTGAGTAGCTCAGTCGGTTAAGTACTGGACTCTTGATTTCTGCTGGGATCATGATCTCAGCTTGGTAAGGTTGAGCCCCTTGTGGGATGCAGTGCTCCGCTCAGCTCATGGGGGAGTCTGCACCTCTACCCAATCTTCTCCTGCCCTTCCCCCCACCCACACATGCACTTTTTAAGTCTTTTTTTAAAAAAACTATTAATTATTAAATCAAATAGGAAATATAAAATAAAATCACAGAATTCTTATGAAAAAACATAAAAACACTATAAAGGAGAATCTATGAGACAAAGTCAAATGCCAGAGGAAAATCAACAGCCTTAAATTTACCAGTAAAAATCGAAACAGAAAAACTGATTTTAATATGTAACTCAAAAAGTGGGCAGCCGGGGTGACTCAGCAGTTTGGCACCGCCTTTGTTCTGGGGGCAGGGATGAACCTGGGGACCCGGGATTCCACATTGGGCTCCCTGCATAAAGCCTGCTTCTCCCTCTTCCTGTGTCTCTGCCTCTCTCTCTCTCTGTGTCTCTCATGAGTAGGTAAATAAAATCTTAAAAAAAAAAAAAAAAAAAAAGCAACTCAAAAAGTTAGGAAACAATAGAAAAAATAAATAACGATAAAAAATAGAATTAATGAGTGGCAATACAAAGTTGTATAAATAAAATGGCTGGTTCTTTGAAAAGATCAGTGGGAAGAAACTAGTAGTCAACAAATATGGAATAAGAGGGAAAAAGCATAAACATGCATAGTAAGAAATTTCAATGGGAGAAATAAGAAACAAGGAATTTAAAAAATACCACTGAAACTGAAGAAATACAAATTGAAAGATATTCCATGCTCACGGATGAGAAGCATTAGTACTGATAAAATGTTCATACTACCTGGAGTGATACACAGATTCAATACAATCTGTATCAAAATTCCAATGGTATTTTGCACAGAAATAGAATAAATAATCCTAAAATATGTATGGAACTACAGGCCTCAAATAGTCAAAGCAATCTTGAGAAAGAATAACTTGAGAAAGAAGAAAGCTGGAGGCTTAATACACCTTGATTTCAAATTATATTACAAAGCTTTGGGGGCATCCTAGGTGGCTCAAGGTCAGTTAAGTATCTGACTCTTGATTTTGGTTCAGGTCATGATCTGAGTTGTGAGATTGAGCCCACATCTGGCTCTGTGCTAGGCGTGGAGACTGCTTACTTAAATTTTTCTCTCTCCCTGTTCCTCTGCTCCCTCTATTGCTCCCGCTTGTGCTCTCTCTCTAAAAAAATCAAGAAACAAACAAATGAAAAAACCCAGAGCTTTGGCAAGCTAAATATTCTGGTATTTGCATAAAAAGAGACACAAAACCAATGGAATAGAGAGTCCAGAAATAAACCCTTGCATGTATAACCAATTAATTTACGACCAAAGCACCAAGAATATACAATGGGGAAGAGACGATCTCTTCAGTAAATGGTGCAGGGGAAACTAGAGAGCCACATGCAAAAGAGCAAGACTAGACCAATATCTTCCATAAAATTTACATAAAATTAACACAGACAACACAGGCAATAAATTCCTTGTCATGGGTCTCAGTGATGACTTTAATCTGACACCAGAAACAAAGGCAATAAAAGCAAAAACAAGTGGAACTACATCAAGCTAAATCTGTACAGCAAAGGAACAAGATGAAAAGGCAACCTACTGCATAGAAGAAAATATTTGCAAATTATGTATCTGATAAAGAGTTAATATTGAAAATATATAAAGAACTCATACAACTTAATAGCAACAAACAATCCAATTGGAAAATGAACAGAGGATCTGAATAGACATTTGTCCAAAGAAGACTTAAAGATCGTCAACAAGTAGTGAAAAGGTGCTCGACATCACTAATCATCAGGGGAATGCCAATCAAAACCAAATGAACTATCACCTCACACTGGTCAAAATGGCTATCATCAAAAAGACAAGAAATAGCAAGTGTTGGCAAAGGGAACCCTTGTTGCTTTTGGTGGGAATGAAAACTGGTGCAGCCACAGTGGGAAATATGGACGTTCCTCAAAAAATTAAAACTAGAACTAACATGATTACCAGTAATTCCACTTCTGGGTATTTATCTGAAGGAAATAAAGCACTTAATTCAAAAAGATATCTACACTAAGTTCATTGCAGCATTATTTAGAATAGCCAAGACATGGAAATAACCTACGTATCCATCAATGGATGAATGGACAAAGAAATGGATATGTGTATAAAGGATTATTAGCCATTTAAGAAAAAGGAAATGCTGCCACTTGCAACAATATGGATAGACCTCCAAAGCATTGTTAAGCAAAATAAGTCAGAGAAAGGCAAATACTGTACAATCTCATATGTGAAATAAAAACAACAATAAAAACAAAAAATTGAGCTCACAGATACAGAGAAGATATTGGTGGTTCGATGAGGGGAGGAGTTAGAATGGGTAAAATAGGTGAAGGTGGTCAAAAGGTACAAACTTCCAGTTGAAAAACAAGTTCTGGGGATATAATGTACAGAATGATGACTACAGTTACTAGTACTGTATTATATATCCAAAAGTTATTAAAAGTTCCCATTACAAGAAAAAAACCTCTAACTGTGTAGTGATGGATGTTGACTACACTTACTATAGTGATCATTTCACAGTATATACATATATGAAATTATATTATTATACTGTCCATCTGAAAAAAAGGGGGAAAAAGGCTCATGAAGAGGCTTCTTTGTATAACTATGCAAATAACATTTGAAAAATGAATGCAATGGGTAATTTTTTTTGGGGAGTGCGCAGATTGATGCAGTAATACCGAAAAGGGGACTGGGGATTCTAGTCAGGTAAGGCAACAGGGGTGTGGCTTCCAAGCAGCTGGGAGGGCAAATACCCACAGATGTACTCAGAAGTACATTGGCTTCATTAAACAACAGAAGTACAGAAAAGAACAGCTCAGCCTTAGCCAAGTGAAGAACAGGGAACATCAGAAATTCAGCCAGAGAAGCAGAGAAGAGGCAGTAAAACAAGAATAAGCTGATGACTTTAATTTAAAAAACCCCTAGTTCCAATGAACAGTTCTAACACCAAGTCCTCTCAAATGAATCTGCCAACTCACAGACCTGAAAGCCGGGTAGGGCATCCGTGGGGCTCAACATCACAGCCCTGGAGAGTGGACTAGTTTAAGATTCTCAACCCCATGGTGCTTGTGTGCCAAAGACTTCATTAAGACAGAAAAATTTAAAGGTTGCAGCTACAAATGGCAACTATATTTGTCTTCTGCCTTGACAGGAGATCCAAAGTGCAGAGCAGATGAAAAAGTGGAAAGAGAGGCTTGAGAAAAAGTACTATTCCACAGAAATTCAAGATGACTACCAGCCTGTAACTCAACAAGAATTTCGAGAGTAAGTAACTTCCAACCAGGGCACTGTGGGCTATCATGATATGGGGGGACTGGGGACACAAGTTACAGTACTTTCCTGAAACTAGACCTTTTGGAGATGCCACCCCTTTTTCTCATTTTTACCCAGCTTTTTGTTTTTAAAGATTTTTTTTTATTTATTTGAGAGAGAGCATGACCAAGAGGAGGGGCAGAGGGAGAAGCAGGCTCCCTGCTGAGCAGGGAGCCCAATGCGGGACTTGATCCCAGGACCCTGGGATCATGACCTGAGCCAAAGGCAGACGCACAACTGACCACGCCACCCAGGTGCCCTTTTTACACAACTTTGAAATTGAACAGAAAGCACAACTCTACTTGTTTAGATCTAAGGTGAGAGTGAAACCAATTGTTTTTATCCTTATATCTCCAAAGAGGACTGCTATTTATATTGGATATGAATGGCAGAAACTCTTCTCCAGTTTTAGAATATAAGATCCATACTTAAAAAAAAAATAATAAGATCCATACTTGGCCACACTAGGCCATGTTTTAGAAACTCCCAAGTACTTCACGGTAGGTACTAACAACCTGCTGACTCTTTATGCACAAACGTATGTTACTCATTCTCTGCTTCCTTCTAAATTATCCTCTAGACTCTTTTTATATGCCGTGGAGCTGGAGAAGGAATTACACTATGTCAGTTTAAAACTAAACCGAGTGATGCGAAAGCTTTCAGCTCTACAATCTTGAGACAAGGGCATGTGAGAACATATGGTATGATCACTGAGCATTTCTAACAAAGATTTCTCCTTGTACTGAATTATTTGGTAAACATGTACCCATTATAGATACACTATAAAAACACTACACCTATCATCAAACTATCTTCAGAGCCAATGATAATCCCAAGAGATTTCCAAATATTAAGTGCCCTTGAATGGGACCTCGTGTTTGATCCGTGCATATTACAGCAAGCATCCAGAGTACACACACTGTAACACATAAAGGATTTTATGAGATTTATTAAATTCTAGCAATGTGAAGATAAAGTACAAAATAATGCTGCTTATGGTTTGTGGGAAAGATCTCTAATAGGTCACTAAGTAGATAAAAACAGTTTTCTTAATGTTACCTAAAATATAGAAATGTTGGTGCTTTTATCATGTACCATATGTTGTAACTTCTTCTAGGATAAATTAATAAATCCTTAGGATTCTGGAAAACCATTATATAATATGGACCCCCAAATAAAATAATCTCATTTCCATTCTTCCCAATTCAAGGTCACCTAGAAAAAGTTAAAATGTAGAAGAACAAACTTCCCAATTTCCTACAGAAATTTCACTAATATTTTCACACTGGAAATTCATCTAGAAAGCTTCTAAAGTAACACATTTAAGGTTTCCTAAAAGTGTTTCTTCAACTACTCTAAAAGCAAAATATACTTTAAAAAACAAAGAACAAGGTAGGAGTATCAGGGCTAAGAGAAGTCAACTTACTCTATGAGAAGTATGAATAAGGGCACTTCAAAAGCCCTGCTTGGGTGGTTGGAAAAATGTGTGAAGTAACTCTTCTAATTTCTTTAGTAGGTTCCATAAGCCCCCCTAAAAGAGCCATATGTTCTCTTGGCCCAAACAACAACATGGGACCATAACACTCAACTTCTACGTTGGTGCTCAATTTTAAATCTATCCACTTCAGTCAGGGCAACCTCTTCTCTTAGAAATAGTACCTCAAGTTTGCTTATCAGGATAGTTCACTTGCAGTAAGAAGTGCTGACGGTTCTCTCTGCATCTTCCCCCTAGATTTCCACAAAGCTATCAACAAACAGCGTGGCCTTTCCTTGTCTTACCAATCCTCAGAGCTGCTGCCAGCCAAGAGACTTAGTCACACTCTTGTCCCCCAACATGGTCCCTGGTTGAGGTAACTCAAACAAAGCCTAAGAACATTAAGGGAAGGAAACACTTAAGGTCTCCATTTTCTTTAACTTCTAATGAAAACAAAACAAAAAACATTTACAATGACTTAGAACACTCAAGTTCTTTTATTACAAAACTCTATACAATGAAGTGCCAGACACAGCAATGCAATTATATTGGTGGCCATATATATCTATATATTATTTGTATATAGATATACAGCTTCTACTTGTACCAAAGTAAAACTATCACAACTGCCTAATTCTACCACCTACTGCTCCACTATGACACACAATACTGTCACGCAGCAGGTACGTGCCACCATGCCACTTTTGTCTATTCTACTCGCAGCCAAACATTAACAGTGAATAACCAACACCATGAAGCAGCTGTTAATTCTAAAATGAAACCAGTCAGGCCACTGACTTATAAAAATATGGTACTCATATAGATTTAGCATTATAAAGAAGGAATATATTATTTAAAACATTTAAATAGTGCATATGGACATTTTTGCATGTGTATACAAAACATTCATATAAAACAATATACAGTGCACATTAAATCAGATGTTTGGATATACTCCTGTCTGGAGACTGAAAGAAATTAAATGTACACTGCATGCTGGATTCAAATCAAAGTGATAATTTCTTTTGGCATTTTCAATTCGTTTTTCTAGGTATACATTATGAATAATCTAGCTGTTATCAAAAGGAAATCACACGGAAAGGGCTGGATTTAGTGCTTTATTCCCGAACTACATGTTCACCACGAATGAACATTCCTTCCCCCCCAAAAAAGGCATTGCACACACAAGTGAAATGTGAAATACTAGAAACACTACTTATTCTCAAGCTACTTCATGTGCTTACTATGTAATAGTGCCAGAAGTATGAGGTTCATGCTTCCCTCACTTGATTAAAGTATGTTGCAGAAGTCCCATTTTTATATGGAACTGTTAGTATTATCTAGTTAAGAAAACCATGCATGAATCAATGCATGCAAAACATGGGCACAAAGTGAGACACTCATCAATCCAAAAAAGCACCAGGAAAAAAATTAACACTTAGATTAAGCCTAACCAGAATACACTGTTATGAACTATATTCTTAGCCCAAATAAAGACACCAATCTGTGAAAATGATTAGCAGAATACGAGAAGAGTACCTGAAGAAAAGCCATGCAAAGCTAAAGAAAAATGATAAGCTTAGAGTATATGACAAGGGGCATACCACTACGCATCTCTGAACACCACTACACAACTGCTTTAAACAGCATGTGACTGAGCAAAGTGTTCCTGTTAAAAGGATGTTTTATGGATTTTGCTGATTAAAAGAGGAAAAAAAATGATGCAACCCCCTGAAGGTACATGAAAAATGCAGTGGTATAGCCCTTGTTAAGAAAGATTTAATTCAGGCATAATGATTCTTTTTGCCAACTTAGACCCATCTGACTGAACACACAAAGCTGAGCACCATCAGTGTTCCTACAGAGACATGGCTATTTTCTCACATTTTCTGGAGGTGGATGGGGGAAAAAATACAGGATCTGATTCAGACAAAGCACATCATCACCAGCTAATAAACAGTAACTGAGGAAACAGTAACTTATGTCCCATAGGCAGCATGTGATATGATTCAGTTCTGTGTTGAAGTGTGGTGTGTGTTTTCACTATACTAAAACAAGGTCACTTTTTGGTCTACCCTCTGTTATCTTCATCCAGGAGCTGTGTGACCAGTGAATTGGAAAATTTTGCTAACATACTACCTGTGAGAAAGTGTCACTTTGGAAATTAAACAGAAATGTGTTCCACAGTAGGACTTGAAATTTCAGTTGATTTTGGTTTTCTAAGAAAACATAGGACATAGTTGCATTTGTGCACATTTATAGGCTTTTCTTTCAAATTTTCAGTCATTCTGTAAGAAAAAGGCAACCGAAGAATTCAATGTGAAGATGTTCCTCTGAATTTCCTTCAGTAATTAAAAAAATAATAAAAATAAAGTTGATGATAACAAAAAGCTTGTATCTCCAAAGTTCTTGAAGTTGAAAGAATAAAGTACTAGTCTTTTGCTAACAGGATGTATCTGTAGTACAAAACAATGAAGAAAACTGGATGTTTGCTAAAGGTGTGGAGAGGACAGTCTGTGGTTAATATGGAACACCACGCTCCCTAAAGAGGGTCTACTTACCCTCCCATTTTTCTCTAGTGGCACCACAACCAAGTACAAAATGATACTCCCGGAGTGCCTGACAAAATGAACTCAAGTACCAGCCAAGTACACACGATGACAGCTTCAGGGAATACAACTGATTTTTATGATGTTTTCAAAGAGCATACTTTATATGGATTTTGAAGAATCTTGTTTGCTGATAAGAACTTCAAGAAGCCTAAGTTTGGCTTTAATTTTCTTGTACTCCCTATACTCTTCAAGCACTGGAACACGATCCTCTTTCTGGGCATTCCTAGGGAAGAAAATAAAATCTGTAATATTCTAGAGATCATCTGAAAAATAAAGTTCCAGAAGCTAAGTTCCAGAAGCTATCCTAATATGAGACACAATGTTATCAAATATAAACTCCAATAAAAAATTCCTCTGCAAGGGGCAGCTCCAGTGGCGCAGCGGTTTAGCGCCGCCTGCAGCCCAGGGCATGATCCTGGAGACCCTGGATCGAGTCCCACGTCGGGCTCTCTGTATGATGCCTGCTTCTCCCTCTGCCTGTGTCTCTGCCTCTCTCTCTGTCTCTATGAATAAATAAATAAAATCTTAAAAAAAAAAAATTCCTCTGCAAGAAAAAAGATTACTGGACTAATTCCCCCCATCTCCAAGGAAAATTCCTAAAAAACTTCTATTTTTGACGAATTCCTCTGCTGACAGATTAAATAATGCTATATTTTTATCAATGATCATTGCAAAGAACTAGGAAGTAATTAAATATCTTATTAAGATATGCACTGCTAAGCTCAGTCAGGTCTATGAGTGTATATCAAGCACCAGAGGTTACAGTCATTTCATACATTTACCAAACTGTGGCTTCAATGAAGTGACATGTAAAACATCTTACCCACAGAAAAAAGTAGTTTCCTCACTTTGTATTAATGACCCAATGCATTTCATTTTAATCTCTAGGTAAAGCATCAAACCATCCTGAGTATAATTATAAGCAAAGTTTTCTTCCATTCAGACAAAAAAAATAAGAAGATACTTGAAAAATGCATTCTTACACTGAGGGTTTTTTTTTTTTTTTAAAGATTTTATTTATTTATTTGAGAGCAAGAGAGAGAGACATGAGCAGGCGGGAAGAGTAGGAAGAGGGTGAAGCAGACTTCTCACTGAGCAGGGAGCCTGATGTGAGGCTCGATCCCAAGACCCTGGGATCATGACCTGAGCTAAAGGCTGGCACTTAACCAACTGTACCACCCAGGCCACCACACTGAGATTTTTTTTAAAACCATTTTTGCCAACTACATAGAAGTTTCAAAGTAAACACATTTTGGAATTTGTAATGTAGCTTCTGGTTTGGTAAGACCGCCCAGTTACAAACATGGAAAAACTTTTCTGAGGCCTGAGATAACACTCATTTCTGGCCACCATCTGATTTAGAATGTACTTTCCTTAAAAAAAAAAAAAAGAATATTTTTCTTACTTTTCAAAGAGTTCCACTGGGTCAGCTGTGCCCAGTTAGATAAAAGCACATGCCATACTGTATTCTAGAAGCCACACTGCTGACTGGCACCCTGTTACATATCTTAGAAATGGGGAACCTGGAATGGCCCAATAGGTAGCCTAACCAGTGATGGTCTTAGTATAAGATCCACACTAGGTGACAATACCAATCATGTTAAGGGACCTTTCCTAAAAAGGAAAAATAGGGGCACCTGGGTGGCTCAGTCAGTTGAGTGTCTGACTCTTCATTTTGGCTCATGTTGTGATTCTCAGGGTTCTGAGAATGCTCATCTGGGAGTCTGCTTGCGATTCTCTCTCCCTCCCTTCTCTCCCCTCCCTCTCTCCAAAATAAATAAATCTTTAAAAAGAAGAAAAAACAAAAATAAAAGGAAAACATCGTATTTCACAAACACTTCCAAAAGGGTGAGAATGTAGAATTCAAAAACACAACATAACTGCCACTCAACCAAGCCTAGAACAACTCTGAAATACTGTATCAGATGTTTACTCTGATTTTTTCTTGCAGTTAATAGCAGGCCTTCAAAGTAAGAAGGTATGTTTTATACTTTTATTTTCAATGGTAACATCCTTACATGCACCATTTATTTCTATTCCTATACATTCTTTTAATTTAGCATATAGGCACCTATAAGTTTAAGGAGAAAGGACTCAGTTTTGTGATGTTCAACAAACCTTCCATTCTGTTGATAAAATGCTTCTTCAAATTCCCGTAATGTTTTGCGTAGTTTCTTTTTTTCAGCTCTGGCTTTCCAAAGTTGTTCCAGTAATTCAGGCCTAAAATTTTAATAGGAAGAAAATATTACTAAAAGAGCACTATGGTTCTTAGCAGAGGTCCAAACCCTGGCTGCAAACTAGTCAGCTGGGGAGCATTTAGAATATCACCCATGCCTAAGCTACAGCCCAGACCAACTAAAAGGGAATAGCTCCAAGTAGGATTCTGCATTAGTATTTAAAGAAAAAATAAAGTGAAACCAAGGCTCCTATGGAAAATAATATGGAGGTTGCTCAAAAAATTGAAAACAGAAGTACCATATGATCCAGTAATTCCACTACTATTTACCCAAAGAAAACACAAACATTAATTCAAAAAGGTATCTGTACCCCTATGTTTATTAGGTCATTATTTAAATAGCAAAGATATGGAAGTAATCCAAATGTCCATCAACAGATGAATGGATAGGGACGCCTGCGTGGCTCAATGGTTTAGCGCCTGCCTTCCACCCAGGGCATGATTCTGGAGTCCAGGACTGAGTCCCACATCAGGCTCCCTACATGAAGCCTGCTTCTCCCTCTGCTGTGTCTCTGTATCTCTCTCTGTGTGTCTCTCATGAATAAACAAATAAAATCTTAAAAAAAAAATAGATGGATAAAGAAGGTATGGTATGCACGCACGTGCACACAAACACACACACACACACACACCACTCACACTATGGAGTATTACTTGGCCATAACAAAAGAATGAAATCCTGCCATTTGCAACAACATGGATGAACCTAGAGGGTATAATGCTAAATGAATTAAGTCATAGAAAGAAAAACAAATATCCTATGATTTCATTTATATGTGGAATCCAAAAAATAAAACAATCATATAACAACAGTATCACTAATATCGAGAACAAACTAGGTAGCTGTGAGGGAGAGAGCTGGGTGGGGAGCTAGGGAAAAACAGTAAAAGAGATTAGGAGGCACAAACTTCCAGTTATAAAATAACAGGTCACAGAAACAAAAAGTACAGCACCAGGATGTAGTCAATAGTACTGTAGTAACATTGTATGGTGACTACACTTAGTGTGGTGAGCACTGAGTAATATATAAAATTGCTGAATCACACACTGTATATCTGAAACTAATATAACATTTTATGTTAATTATACTTTAATATAAAAAAGGCGAAGCAAGGGCTGAAAATCACCATCATACACCGTTATCAGGGAAAGAGGCTGGCAGAGAACAAACCTAACTTTCAGCTAGTTTCAGCACTGTGTTATGAAACAAATGTAGGATTTTAGTTTAATTTTTAAAACACACTAATGTTTAATAAAGAAAATGTGAATGACAACATGTATTTGTAAATCACACCCTTTAAGAGGGGTGTATCTCTCTTTCTCTCTTTTTTTTTTTAATATTTTATTTAGTTATTCATGAGAGACACAGGCAGAGGGAGAAGCAGGCTCCATGCAGGGAGCCCGATGAGGGACTCGATCCCAGGACCCCAGGATCACGCCTTGGACCAAATGCAGAGGTTCAAGTGCTGAGCCCCCAAGGTGCCCCAAGAAGGGTGTATCTCTTGAGCATTACATTAATTCCCTCCAAGTGCCTGATTATATAACACTGAATTTCTTGCCATGTAAATTTCATTATACAAATAGATTAAAAAAAAAAATCACAAACCAGCACACATACATAGAAGCTGCTCGAGTACTTGACAATCGGAGATCCAGAGCCAGTTTTTCTGGATTTTCTTCAACATCAGATTCAGAGTTTTCCAATGAAGATTGTGCCTGTACAGCAGTTTTCAAGATATCAGTTAGCTCAGAGGACAGGGTAACACCATCTTCTTCTTCTTCCTAAAAATATATCAAACAAATAATCAAACAGGCCACGACTCTCAACTTTTTAAGGAAGATACGAGAGAAAGCTTTCTCTTAAAGAGGATTACCTTGATTTCTTCAAAAAAATGGGCAGTTTCTCCCTCTATGATTGGTTGTAGCATCTGACCCCTTCGCTTAGTAGATGGAGATCCCTGTAACATTAAACATGGTTTATACTTTAAATATCTAAATCAGGGATGCCTGGGTGGCTCAGCAGTTTTTGCGCCTGCCTTCGGTCCAGGGCATAATACTGGAAGTCCCGGGATCGAGTCCCACATCAGGCGCTCTGCATGGAGCCTGCTTCTCCCTCTGCCTCTGCCTCTCTCTCTCTGTCTCTCATGAATAAATAAAATCTTTAAATAATAATAAATATCTAAATCATTCAAAGAAAGCTTCATTCACTATGGAACAGATACTAAACTTTATTTTCAAAATCTTAATCATACAATTTAAAATTTTTCAGCAATTCCTTACTAAATTCATTTTTGCTTATGTTTAATTGTTGTGTACCCACACAAATGCTATTTGATCATTTATGCCTGGATAATCTAAAATAGCTCATTCAATAAGTAAAAAATAAAGTATTACATGTAATTTTATTCAGAGCATTTTCCTTTTTAACAAGAGCTGTCAACTTTTTTGGTCTAGGACACCTTTTAAACTCCTTTTTAAAAAGTAACAGCTTCAGGGAGCCCCAGTGGCTCAGCGGTTTAGTGCCACCTTCAGCCGGAGGTGTGATCCTGGAGACCCAGGATCGAGTCCCACGTCAGGCTCCGCCCATGGAGCCTGCTTCTCCCTCTGCCTGTGTCTCTGCCTCTCTCTCCTCCTGTGTCTCTCATAAATAAATAAAATCTTAAAAAAAAAAAAAAGTAACAGCTTCATTGAGATATAATCCCACATAACATAAAATTCACTCCTTTAAAGTGTACGATTTAGTGGTTTTTAGTATATTCACAAAGTTGTGCTACTACCACCTC